GCCACCTACAATGCGCCCAACAATACCAACAAAGGAAGCAGAACTACCAGTGAACATCGACCCTCCGACGAAATCAGAGGTCCTGAATGCAATCAAGATGCTAGAAACCGGAAAAGCAGCACGACCAGATGGAATCCCAGCAGAAGCACTGAAAATGGACCCAGAGATAACAGCGGACTTGATGACACCACTACAGGAGAAGGTGTGGAAAGTGGGCAAAGTACCCGAGGATTAGAAGAAAGGATACTTATTCAAACTGCCAAAGAAAGAGGACTTAAATTAATGCAAAAACTGGTGTGGAATTATGTCCCTTTACTTCTCAAGCAATATAATAATCCTCATCACCCTGGAGAAAATCAAACAAGCTTTGGATGAAAAGCTTCAACCGGAAAAAGCTTGATTCAGGAGAAACAAATCATGTACTGATCAAATCGCCACACTGCGAATCATCATTGAACAAAGGTTGGAATGGCAGTCACCTGTCTATCTCAAATTCATCGACTTCGAAAGGCCTTCGATAGCGCAGCGTCGATCGAGAGGTGATTGGCAAACTACTTCGCTACTAAGGGGCGCCACTGGCAATTACACATCTCATCAAACTGTTGTACGACAATGCTGCACGCCAAGTCATCCAAAATTGGATACTCTTGATTGCTGTAGATTGGATACTGCGACAGAAAAAGGGACGCGAAGAATCGGGCATAAAATGCACTCACATAAAAAACAAGTTGGCGATAGAAGAAGCATCAAAGATAGGACTCCAAGTAAACATGGAGAAAACAGAGATGATGAAGATTTCTGGTCAGCAGCAACAACAGACAACAGTCTGGATAAATGGGACGAAAACCTGAAAGAAAAAAACTCTTTTACCTACCCACCTACCTTGGAAGCATCGTTTCAACTACAGGCGAAACTAACGAGAATATCAAAGCCAGAATCGGAAAAGCACGACAAGTTTTCATTACTCTTAAGTCAAGCCTGTGTGGAGGTCGACAGGACTCAGCATCAAAAATAAGATCTGGATTTTCAACTCCAATGTGAAATCAGTCACTGCTACTTTACGGATCAGAGACCTGACGCGTCTTAAAGAGCATCTCAAACAGAATTTAGACCTTCATCAACAGCTATCTTCGCCAAATATTCAGGATCAGATGGCCAGAAAAGATCAGCAGCAGAGATCCTAGGGAGCAAATCGACCAGATACCGACTGTGCAACAAATAGGCAGGAAGAAACGAAAATGGATTGGCGTTATTCTAAGGAAATCATCAAGTGACATCACTAGACAAGCCATTGCTCGAGTGGAACCCGAAATGAAAGCGGCGAGTTTGTCGCCCAAGTGTGACTTGGAGGAAGTCGTGTGAAGAGGAGATGAAAGTATGTGGGCAGACCTGAAGCCAGGTTAAAAACTTTTGCAGAAGACAGAATGCAATTGAGACGGGCAGCTGAAGCCTTATGTTCCTATAAAAATAAGAGGAAATGATAATAAAACATTTACCACATTATTATCATTTGATCCACAAAATCACCGTCATTGTTTAAACATTTATATATATAAATTCATGTAAATTAGAGTGACGCCTGAATATGATCTAATTGAAAACAATATTGTTCGCTTATATGTCTCGTTGTAAAAGGTCATACATTGTTTATTTAGTTCATGGACAGGCAAAATATATTGTGAATCATAATAGAATAACGATCAGTATACATATAGCAAAATATATCAGTCTGTCAAAACAAAGCAGACATCATGTGACTAGATATCACAGTATGAGCTAGTTTGAGTAAAAACAGGACATTCTGACTCGAGACTGTCTTCAGAAAGCCTTAAATTAATATTCTTGTAGACTGAGCTTTTATTCCCACTTAGTTTTCAATATTCTCCTGGATTCTATTTTAGCTTTCACAGCTGAACTATTTCTAAATATTTTTACAGTACTTGTTTTATATTCAGAAATATGCATTGCCTGAATAGCTGCCTCACAGCACTGTTGAAGTTAATTTGAGTTCGGCGTTATTTCGGTTTAATAGAACTGCTGACAGATTGACGAATAATCGTCTTTCCCTCAAATTCAAAAAGTTCTGTGACATCACGTGTCTTAATGAATTTTCGCCAAATGTAAAATAAAACTATGGCCTCAATTCCTTGCGTTCAGACAATAACCGAATAAATTTGGTCACTAGACGCATATGTACAAAGGTTTTAGAAAGAATATGAATTGTGACAAAAAATAATCGACTAAACATTTTATAAATTAGTTCAAGAGATGCATAAATCTTGGAGTATTTTAGAAATAATAAGATTATTAAGGGAATCGATAGTTACACAGGAAGGTGCTGGCTATGATAAGACAACATTCAGAAAATTACATCGAATTAAGTAATCAAATATGACAAATAGGACAGTGCCATAAATTCTTAAAAGCAAAATTAATAATTATAATGATAATCGGTACAATAAAGGAAGGATATGTAAGCGAAATAAACAAAACGAAAAAATAAGTATGGCCTAAGTATGAAGGAGGATTATCATACCTAACCATAGACACATTAGGACCATTAGATTAGGAAGGGTTGAACAACCTTTTTCTGCATGTGAAAAGCTAACTGATGCTTCAGTGAATCTGCTTTTTAGAGGCTGAAAGATCCCTTTTCTAAGAATCCCGGCAGCTAAGTCACAGTTCACAGTAACAATAGAAATCAAACCTAGTCGATTTGATAGAGTGTTGATAAATTTGTAGAACTGAGACTCTTCATTGTTACATTTCAATTAATTTAAACTCACTAACATTGAAAAATTTTCACTCTGAAATAAGCTTGCGCGATTTTACATTGAAGTACTGGCATCAATACACTGAATATCAACACATTCGTGTCGTTCATTAGTGGTCAGCACTAGTTGAATTCGTGGTATGCGACGATTATCAGTGGACTTTGAACATCTGCAAATATTTTAATTTCTTATTGATTTCCATGAATATCCTCTGCTCGTGTGAGATGTGTGGATCAGAATTTACAGAGTTACTGTGTTTTTATCCCACTTATCAATTGTGGTACGTTTTGTGTTTTTCATTCACGGTATTTGTGCTCAAATCCATTCTGCATGTAGGTTAAATAGGAAGAGTTCTTTCTTCCAGAAGAATATTCTTTAATTTTTTTCATGTATGGCTAACATTCACTTTCCCAATAGATAAGTTGTCGATAGTTAATGATATGACGGATGATCATATCTGATGATCAGTATTTCTAAAATGAAATGAAGTATTCTATTTTTGTGAATTTCTTTAGACATTCTCTAATTTGTTGCACTCATGGTGCATTTTACAGTATGGTTGAGATATGCAGTTTATTGTGGTTGATCAAATAATCCAACCTCAAAAACAACTACAAACTTCTCATTCAAGTTGTCATTGTATTTTGTCTGACAATGACACTTTGAGAAATCGGTGTGTAATTTCGAAAAAGTAACTATGGTGGAGAAATACATGTTGTTAATAACTCAGAGATTCTGTCAAGTGTTTACAAACTACGCGTTCTTATTTATCCAATATCATGGTGAACTCACTTCTTTCATATTAACGGATAAATTTCCTCCCGTCCCAAAGCATTTTGAAAGACTGGGGATGAAGTAGCCTAAAATCGTTAACGCAGTGATATCATTCTTAGAAGTCATACAGGCGTATTCGTATGCCTCAGTTCACATAGTTATAATTACTTTTTAATTCATCATGGAATCGAATAAGGTTTCAGTTGATGCTAATTTTTAACTTGACATAGAAGCATAAAGCGTCGAATATAGATAACAGGAGGCATGGAGACAAAATTATCTACAATCAATAAATAGTTTGAAAGACAGTAAAACGAATACAGGTGTAGAGAGTTTGAGCACATGTAATAATTGATGATAGCAGAAATAACAGCTGCTGCATATGAAGACTGTAAAATTGAAGGGAATGGAAAAAATATAGGTGGAATTAAGCAGCCAAAGAACAAGATAACTACCATTTTGTAAATGTTTCCTCATCCTAAAACTTTTACCTCTTCCTTTATAAACACTATTATTAAATTGGTGTCCATGTTTATCTCTTCCACACGCATCTTTGCTCAGAAACAGTAGCACTCAAATATCCTGAAACCTATTTCTTCACAGTTTGAAAAAGAATAACTATTTCCATGAAAATAATCGTTGTCACTATTCGCCTTACCTTATTTTATCATTTTCGCAACGGGAAAAGAATTGCTAATCATTAACGCGGTAACTAACGCATGTTAAGCCAAATCTATCACGAATCTACTTCTAAATGACTTATATCACTGAGCCACCTCCTTTGATATGGAGGAAAGTACTGGAAATTCACACAGTTTCACTGTGTTTAATATGTATTACAGTTAGAACCTTAGATGGTAACCATTCCTAACCCACATCAAGCTTGACTGTCTTCTCGCTGCTACGCTTTTATCAAAACAGTTGAAGGAAAAGCATTCCATGGAGAACACTTAAAATTCATCAGTCTGAATAAGCGTATAGTTAGAAACGAATCTTACCACATTACTGTAGTAGTTGAATTTCTTCCACGTTAAACTTCATGTACACATAAGTGACACTCGCAGCATATCTCCTTTACTTGAGGGTGATTGGGATAACAGCTTGAAAACAAATCACTTATAACGATGGAGTTAAAGTCAACATTTTCACGAATTTTCTTCAGCTCCAGGTATAAGTGAACATAGATAATTGTCGAGTACAAGAAAGTAAGAGAAAGGAGGGTGGCGTATATGATACTTCGTGCATGGAAGACGGCATTTATCACAGGACGTATGCAACATAAAGTGATAACGTCTAATCAACACCACACTACTGTGCTACCTGACATTCCCAGTAATAAGTGACCACTAAATATATTCTTTCACTGACTTTTAAACGCATCAACTTTGTTGCCTGATATTTCCAGTTCTATATAATTTGTTATAGAATTCAGTTACCTGAATAAATGGCTACCTGAATTCGAGATTGTTTCTTTCCAGACTTCATTACATACACTTGCAATGGTTTCTCTTTCAGAACACAACGAATTCTAATAATGAGAAACATCAACAAGGACAGAAATCCTCTCGAACACAAAGTTAACACAACCTTGTAAAACACTTATCTTTACCGTCTAAAGAAATTGTTGTACACCAGGTTAAGCGAAAGTTCTAGTGCACAAAAATTAATTGATTTCAAAAACTGAAAATAGGAATCATCAACTGTCTTAACAAAGTGGCAGGTGCTTGTTTGTACAAGACACGCATTACGGTGGAAATTGCTTGACATAATACAAGTGAGTCAAGTGCTATTTAACAAATTTCAAGGAGCTGACAAGACACAGTGCCGCCTGCAAAAAAAAACAAAATAAAAAATACGGCATCACAAATGTACAGATATGTGATTACATTGTTATCGGTTTGTTAATATGCTGAGTGGATATCTACATGAAACATGGCTGAAGAACTTGTGATAACGTTGTCGAAACAAGGAAGCCATTTCAACATATACTAACTTCATTTAAATCTCACTCAGATTTATTTTTCCAGAAAAAAATTGAAATCAAAGTGTGTACTTACCACATCTATAGCAGTGTTGAAAAAGCCACCGGCCAGCGAAACCCATAGTTCCTGAAATACGATGAGGTAAAATTACATTCACAATTTTGATCACAATTTTAAGAACATTAAATGCATAATTCGAATCATTGTAATTTGGCTATACAATCAATGGAACGTAACTATAATTGATGCTTGTACAAGAACCGTGTTTCACAGAACTTCAGCGAGACACCACGGGAGCACTGAAATTCACCTTTTCTATAAAATTCCAGCTTAATAGAATGTTTTCACAGTAGTTTAATGTTTGCGTATTAAATAGGCCAGATGCTGTTTCGCAGAATGTTCAGTATACTGCGACTAAAGGACTGATGGAAAAGTAATCTGACCTCCTTGTGCCTCGCGTGTCAGTGCCTACATGTTTGATCTCATAAATACAGAGTCGTAGTAAAATTAAAATAATTCGAATAATTGCAGATATTTATGTTGAAACATCAATGTAAGCTTGACATTTCAGTTCACTTACATCATCTCCCACGAAAAATAATAAAAGCCCTCCAGTTATCACAAAAGCCACCGACAAAAGTATGAAAACTATGAACACTGCTCGCTTAAATCTTCTCGTTAATATGCAAAGTATGAATGTAAGCAGGTCTTCCAGAATAATGAAGCCCAATAAAAAATAACAGTTTGTTAAAGACTTTTTGCAACACAGATGATAAATAATCGCAGAGCACAGTCCAATCTGTTATCAAAATGAAGTGAACATTTAAAAGTATATGAATATTCATGAACTATTATTTTTCATAAATTGTATATCTACATCAATTTTCTTGTGAAATAACACCTAATTTTGGTTGTCATATACTAATATCCAAATGTTTTTATCAAAACAAGACATATGAGCGAAGAATATTGTTTTCAATTAGGTCTTCTTCAGGCTTTACTCTAATTTACATAGATTTATACATAATAATGTTAACCAATGACAGTGATTTTGTGGATCAAATGATCATAATAATAATGTGGTAAATGATTTAAACATCGTTAATAACGATAATCAAAATGATTACAAAATATTGTTAATAAGGTTTATATAGGTTGCGATAAGAATAATGGAGGTGGTTATTTTTGTACATGCGCACAATTCAATGAATAAATTAGATCAAATCTTAAACGTTACGTAATACTAAGCGTGAAGTGGTCAGAAAAACAGTTTAAATAAATATGATAAAAGTACGAAGAAGAAGGAAAATAAGAAAGGGTGAGAGGTTTACTTTGTTTAGAATTCACCCAGGCAAAGAGAGTAATAAATCTATACCAAACAACTTTTCTTGCATGCAGAGACTAGGACTGTTCGTTCAAACTTTCATAGCTTTGGCTATGTAAAAAAGAGGAATTTGAATTCAGTTCGAAAGTTTCGATTGATTTTGATAAACAACTTAGAAGACACTATTTCTGTCCACTTGTTGACTGCTATCAATCAAATGAGTCAAAAATATGAATCTGAGAGAACAATCCTGGTCTTTGCATACAAGAAAAGATGTTTGTTCTACATTGATCCCTCTATTGGTTTGGGGGAATTCCAATCAAAGTAAACCTCTCACCCATTCTCATTTTCCCTTTCCTTCGTACGTTAATCATATTTATTTACGTAACATTGAAGATTCGATCTAACGTACTTATTGAACTGTCAGCATGTACACATATTACTGCCCCATTATTCTTATCGTCACCTGCACAAACCTCATTAACAATATTTTGTTATAATTGCAATCATCGTTATTAACGACGTTCAAAATATTTACCACATTCTTATTATTACCATTTGACCCACAAAATCACCGTCATTGGTTAACATTTTTATGTATAAATCTATGTAAATCAGAGTAAAGCCTGAAGGAAATCTAATTGAAAACAATATTGTTCCCTCATACTTTTGTTATAATATTAATTAACAGGAATAATAGGAAAAAATATATGTTTATGTTGGAAGTCCACAAGGAAACCTGGATCTCGATTTCATACCTAGTGGCTTAGACTGACACTGATAAACTACAACAGAAGAAAGACTAATGCATCGGAAAAGTCTCGTGCTTGCGAGCAAGGTGAGTGTACAATGTGTCTGAGTTTGATTTTTCGTCAAATTACAAGTAAGATAATTAGAGCTATGTTGTCCTGCTAACCTCCATGGCATTAAAAATATAGTGATGAACCTAACTGTGTCTATCATCTGACAGGCATCTGTAGGCACACGTGCAAAGGGGGATATCATCGTTCTGTGCAGATCAAGTCTATAGAACAGACTCCTTAATATCTGAAGCAACAGATAAATTCAACGAATGTAGTAAATCAGAAAATTATCGGTAGAATTCAATCCACGCTATGAGAATCTTAACTTCCCAACAATATGCGAAGTAAACATCAGTAATTCAGTGTGAAGAGAATCCGATCGGAATAATGTTCGACATAGAAATCAAAATTTGTTATGAAGATACAGTAGGATTGTAAAACAAAAACGCTGAAATACTTTTTATCCAGAAAGGCTTAAAAACGGATATCCTGAAGAAATCTTTTCCAATAGGACTATCCAAATGACTTTGAAGAATACTGTGTTTATTAATCTGCCATCTAATGGAGATTAGGCTCAAGATATTGTCAAATAAACACTTGATAGAGCCACCTACAGAACTGCAGAAAGTGTCCTCGTTAACATTAGTAAGAATGCGTTTCAAGAATCTTGGTTTAGGTCATCCGCTGCTTCTGCATACTTCAAACTGTATCCATCAGTTTCCAGTGTGTTTGCGGTGTCGAATACATAAGTCGTATGTCAAGGTGATTGTTTAGTGGAATAATGTTTCACTTGACATACTGGTTGAAAGCAGCTGAATTCAGACGATCGAAATTTCCAGAAACAAAGCTTCATATAGGCAGATGATATGACCTTGATGCTGTTTAGTTATTCAGCGTTTTCAACAGACAAACAAAGACGATGGGGACAGGCATGAGGCTTGCAGACTGAGAGTTTATAGAAACAGTCTCTGGTTGCAGAAAGGAATGGTGATCGAAATGAAAGTATCATGGACAAATATCTTAATAAATAACGGTTATTAATTCTAATATTTTATCCTTTATTTTATTTAATCTCATTATTATTAAGATTGATTACACTAAAACTGTCCTTAATCACCGTCAGTAGGTTACCTTGTTTCATATTCCTATTATTATCATTAATAATACTGTCGACATTATTGAGTATGTTATCCTACCGAAATTTTATGAATTCATTGAACCTTATTTTGTTATCGTTTGTTGGTCGTCTTACTTCAATCTATTTCCGAATGAATCGCACAACAAACAAGAAACGATCTTCTGGAGAAGAAATCAAGTGATGAACGTAGTTCTCTAAATACTCACCATTATTCCTGTCATGATCAACCCGATTATCACACTATGCTTGATTTCGCAGCACAGTAATATAGAGAAGACCAAAATCAGCACACTAAAATACAAATAGAAAAAAGTTCTAATGAATTTGGAAATCCTAAACAAAAGTATGGATGTATAGTCATTCAATACTGTGATGGTATGTAGTTGTATATCACACATTGTTATCACATGGAGAAAGGGCGTTAATAACTGGATGCAGTCCAAAGTGGAAATGATTACTCATACCGTCTCAGCTGCAATTAACGTAAACTCTTTCTCATAAGATATTTTTGTTATATACGAAGCAGAAACTTCCACATATCCTGAAAGAATGTGTGTTAGATTTCACAAAGAATGCAATAATTTTCTGTTAATTGGTCTGATACGTTTTTGAAGCAGAAGATATTGTCTAGAAGGGATCAGAAGAATTCTCATTGAGATAATAAAGCATAAACAACATAACAACTTTGAATTTATACGTATGAGCCCTATTTTTTATGTATTAGCAATGTCATCCCACCAGTGGTTGCACTAAGACGGCGTAGTGAGATTTCATACCCTTTGAGACCTGAACGCGCTAAATATCACACCAGATCTACAAATACCTAACTACTAGCATACATCAAGTCTCCTCCATCAATAAAGAAAGTACTAAGCTTGAGTCCATGACTATAACTTTCTGAAAATTTGACGGTTTGGTTGTTCAGATTATAATCATCAATTGACACAAGCTTATTTACACTCCTATGCTGCTAATAGCTTTTATCTCAAAGGTTGCGGAAAGTGACACTTACACACAAGCGATCGCCGTATATTCCTGCCATCCCAGAGGAAATATTATGCCTACCTAAATAATAAAATAGACACAACAAAATATATAAAATTGTGACACCATCAACATATTATCGATTACAGGCAACATTGAGAAGGCTGTTATGCAATGTTATTTATTCTAGGTGATGAAAAGCTCAAGGCACGTTCAACTGCGACCAACCAATGACTCATCATGTGTAATTTGGCAGCATGAATATTTGAAACATTAAAGGTTTTTTAGAGATGTAAGCGATGTCATCAAATTATGTGATGATTCTGTGAGAATTTCAACCCTTAGTGTGTAAACTAAACATTTCAATTTATGATGTATGTGCTTCTGTTTCACGCAACTCACGTGTGTTACAGGCGCAAAATCTTGATTTGTATCAGATAGTCATTGATCTCTTGTTTTATGGACAATACAAGTCCTATTGCAGGATGCATTATAATGTGATATAAACTAAGTCAACAAAATAAACGGAAATTAGAAATCCGTGAAAAAAATTTTCTCATTTCCAGTAATAATTTTCTGATATAATTGTGACTAGTTAATATTGATATCAAGTTCTTAACTTCACAAAATAATGGAGTCATGAGGTTCGAAAGCATAATATTACATGAAAAAAGAAGTTTTTTGAGACTATGAATGATGATAAAGAAATGATGGGGGCAACAAATAATTAAAAATTGAACTGCTCACCTTAGAAACGATAGCCATCTTTTTATCGACGTTAGAGTATTCAATAGGAGAAATGGTCACCTAGTGTGCAGATATATATCCATCTCATTCTTTGAACTTTGATTCATAGATTTTGCATACATGGCGAATTGTTTCTTATTCTTCAGGAATGCTTCATGTGACATTAAAGTGTTTTAATAATGAGCAGATTCAAGTGATCCTATACGCTTCTAAATCAAGTTTGAAAATAATTCACTTTGAACCATATGGTGTTATTTCAATAGAGTGGATGGGTTCAAAGAACAATGTAATATGTTTCTCTAGAGTGTGTGTTTCTTAAATGATTGTCTGTGAATTTGTCAATCCGTTTATTGTTTTGCTGGATTCAAATTAAATAGAGTCATGAATATGTTCATCTCTTCTCTTTGAAGGTCATGTGGTGAAGTGAGATTCTCTGCGCCATTTGGTTGGTTGTATTGAATATTTTAAAAGGGATTGAATAAAATCTGCGTAAGAATGCGTTTTTTAGAACTTCCCACCATGATATGAATGAAGCAGTATCTTCGGTATGTTAAAGCACTTCAAACGACTGAAGAAAGTGAAACATTGAAAGTCACATCTCGAAGGGCTTATTAGGTGCTGATGGTTTCCGGTTTATATGTTAAAAGAGGAATTTGTCCAATGGACGCTAAGATAATGGGCTGTTGATGAAACCACAAAAATTGTAGGTAATATAACATGGATGAGTTATGTAGTGGTCAGGTGTTATTTCTGATGTTTTTGCGTTCCTCTCGAACCATTATATCTCTGTTGTTGCTCTCATATTGTAAGAATAGGTTACATACAATTTCACAACTTTGGATGAACCGGAAATACCGATCAAGACATTATTGAGGTATATTTCCCCCAAACAAGATGTGTGGACGGTTTATGCATATTAAAAAATCGAAATATTAGTTTTCGCTACAGATTATGAAGAGAATGAAGGGTATGATGAAACAACCAATGGGAAATTGAGCAACTATTTTTGTTCCACTCCCGAGCTTTTTCATCCCTGTAAGCTTGTTCATCTTCAGTTAAAGAAGCTGTTGTCTATGTGTTATCAATGTGTTTCCGTCTTGATCCTCTTTACATTTGAATTCATTAAACAAAGCTATTTTGAATTCCTCCCTGGTATATCCTTCTCTTACATAGCCTTCTTTGCATTAATGTGTAATCCATATATTCACACCTCAAACTTTCATATCAAAATTATTACCATTTACAAAATAAATTTATTGAAATGTAACAAATATTAAATTGATCTAAAGTGGGCGTTCCCTTCAAATTAGAATTCAAGAACACCAATTAGATGTGAAAAGACGTGAAACATATTCTTTCATATTAATGTATGTTGATGATTTCGTACATCATTTTGATTGGGATTATGTCGCAATTTTAAATAGACGAAACACCAAAAGTTCTGGGGAATTCTTAGGAATCTAGTGAATCAGCAATTAACAAACAATAATTAAGAGCATATTTATCAACTAATACAAGCGATTTTCGTTACAATAAAGTTCATAATGCAAATCAATGCAAAATAACCAACAGAAATATACATTTATCACCAGTCGTGAAGATGGATGCCACGATTCTGTCATTCATGAAGAATTGAAATGAGCTCATTTTCAGTTACGATTGGCGCAAAGACATTTTTTAAAAAGGACAATGAAAGCTTCGCAATTAAACCAACCTGGTCAGAGAAAACAACTAATTCAAAATAACGAAGTTGAATTTAAAGGTCTTCAGACAACTTTTCTTAGACGTTGAGATAGCCGTTTCGAAAATACTATCTCGTGTCCACTGCAGTCTTTAGAGCAATAATATTTACAAACAGCAAAGATAGAAAGTCGGACTTAGCGATCAATAATCCATATAAACGTTCAGCAGTTATCATGGGTAATTCTGAATACTGAAACAAAATGAATCCATCACATAGTACAGAAAACAATTTTGAAGTGTGTTATTCTCGCGTATCCAACCTCAGTGAGGAATATATGGCCGAATGCTGCTGACGTTTATACTTCAGTGGATACTATAATACTTGGAAACAACTCATTTATCTGTTTCGATGCACTTAGTTGAAAGAATTGAAAGGTGAAGAGCTTGATGGTTGCAGATACGCTTTCCTGATGATTGCCAACTGGCACGAAACCTAGATCCTAGGATTCCTGCCGATTACTTCTATGCGTTTCATGCTGAGAACGCTCCACATGTCAAACTGCCAAATCGAGAACAGTAGAAGAATTGACGGAGGTCTCAGATCAAATTTACTAATCACCTTTAAAATATAAATTGTTTTATGCAAATTAAACATCGATACGATTTTCAGCTATCAAACAAACTCTATCGATTCATTATTCTGAAATTATGTATATTTATATTTTAGAATCTGCGTCGAATCACCGTAAGTATTCTTCTGGACAATCATAATGAGCGATATTGTCCTGGATAACTTAAGAAGGGGAAATGAGTTGAAATTCCATGTTTTAACAGGCAATAGCTGTAGCTGTGTCGGTACATATTATTGGATAGAAAACGGTGAAGTGGGAAAAGAAGGTGACCATTATGCCACTAGGTACGGTTGACGGAGAGACAAAGCTGGCTATCATCGTCCTGATGTAATGATATCTATAGTGTAACACACATATTTGTTGTACGATAAAGTTTTATTATGAAATCAGAGTTGACTAGTAGCAAATTTATTTATTCGGTGAAAACTGAATGCATTTATGTCAAAATACCGTAACCATATATTAAAATTCCGACTTCCATAGAGTATTATTGTTCTGCTCCCTTCAACGTATTTTGATTTCAAATTTCTTGGGACATATTATCCATGAACTTCACTTATAGACAAGTTATTCTCCATCTCAACAATTCAGAAATCTCATCTATCGACAAAAAAGCAAACTATAATTTAGTTTCTGTATAATATTTGCGTAAATTAATCGTAAATAAGAATGATATAATCTCTGTGTATGTATCCATGCTCGTATATTTTAATTACATAAAATGGATAGTGAGTGGTTCGAGTAACTCATCACACTTACACTCCGTCCTTCGTGATAAACCAATTCTTTAGATTATTATTACAAGTTCGTTACCTGGCTGTAAGTCGAGATATCATGGAAAGATTTTTACTGATGTTTGCTGATTGAAGATGGTGCTGCATACTCTTGCTCAGTGTTGATTATTTTCGAACACATCACAGATCATGTGGTCTTACAGAAGATGACATGCGAAATAAATATTCCCAAACGAGAGCACAGTAAAGCTGTTCGTTTTATGAAAAAAAAGGAACCAATATATTGTTCTTGATGAAAAACGGAAGCTTATCACAATCTCTTATTTATTTTGAGTTGGAATGATGGTCATTTAGCCCAAATCCTTTTTGATTAATTTTGATTATAGCTTGATTCCACACCGTATTCTTGGTACATTTGTGGAATTTTCAGCATGTGATATAGGTAGCCCACATTTTGCGGACCGATCATTGATATCAGGTGTGCGTTCGCAGAGAACCGAACCGCGGACCATGTGCATGATTGAGGAGAGTCCTAACCTGTGTGCCATCGACGCACAGATGTCGACAGGAACTCAGACTATGAGTCTTGTGAATAAATATGACTCCTGGTGAGCTACAATTTTGATCTATGCAATTTTTACTACATTGATTCATCACAATTAGACATTTTCGATTTTTGTTTTTTTCATAGTACACGTTGTGTGTTTTTCACAGGTTAACAGGGGACAGCTCAAACTGGCCGCCTTTTTCTGTGTTAGTATAAATCAGTTGTATCCAGATATTATATTTGAACCAGAATATATTCAACTGAATTTACTAAGCGATTCTCTGTGAGTTTCAAATTTTCATGAGTTCTTCGGTCTAATTAGCTCATTTCAGGGTACAGGTATTTAAAAACCTCTGCTTGCAATGAGACAAATTAAACGTAATTTAATTTAATTGAATATTCCCATAATTTATTCAGGAAAAATATTTAAAGCTGTAAGTATTTTGTTCTGTATTTTAATTGCTTGAAGTCTCATCTCTGTGGTATTTATTATGGTCACATTTCTTCCCCTAAGACGGGTTTTCTATTGATCCGTACAAGATTTACAACGTTGCAATAAGGAGCAGACGACAGGTCTCCTACCACTCTTGTTATCTCTAATCACTGAGTCGATGGTGATATTATCACACTTTTTCACATCTTTGATGATCAAAGATGCACGTAATTCATTCACTGTAATGAACCTACATAAATTGTCTACTGTTTGAATTGCGCTGTCACTAATGTATAAATCATACAAATGTTCCGTAGTGTTGTTAACATTTTTGAAATATATTTCGAAGATATTTGGATAATACTCAAGTTTTATAGTAAAGTTAATTTCGTTGTATAGCTATGTAGTATCTGCAACAGACTATAAAATGCTTGACTCCTACCTCTAGCAGGGAATATAATTGACAGTGAACATAAAGGCTTGTTTTACGTCTTTCTGACCATGATACACATGTTTTCATTTCACATCCGATATTGCGAAGCAACAATAAGTACTACCTTCCTTTACATTTCTTATTCGATAGTAAGATGTTGGCGTTCTTCTCATGCATTTTTAAGTTAACGTTAACGAATCAATGGTTGCTTCAATACCACCTTCGAGAAGTCTTATTTAGCAAAAGCTTTGATGTTCACTATTGTTTCTGAGTCTTCTGTGAATATTTCCGAACAAATAGGGCTGCCACAAGTAGCAAACATTGGTGATAATAATGATAATATTAATTATTATTCATATAACATGCGATTCGTAGGAATACTTGCTGACCGGTTTTCTTTTTCTATTTATATATGAGATTTGACATTTTGTTTCGTGATATCTGGATTTCATGTTTCCTTTCGTTACAAAAAATAATTCTTATTTGAATTGGTTCACCGAATTTCGTTATTATTGACAGTTTTTGATTCACTTTACTGTCAGTTAGTCTGGAGATGACGTTTCTCTATCCCCTATTGTATCTGAAGACCAAGGCGTACCTTAACCGATCTAGGATTTCAA